GGTAGAAGTGCGTCAAATCACTAAAAGGAAGGAAGCCATGGGGCCTCTAACAGTCAAGAAAAAAGCACAATGCAGTGCTACAACTGCCAGGAACATGGTCATTATGCAGCTGAGTGCAACATTCCAAGAAAGGAGAGAAGCCACGAGAAAAACCTGATTCAAGAAGACTCTGAACCTGCACTGTTGTTAATGTCCCTTGAAAATAAAAAGGAAATCGATGAAGTATTTCTAAATGTGGAAAATGTGCATCCAAAGTTGAAAACAAAAGGTGGGAGACAAACTAGTCAAGTATATGGTATCTTGATACAGGGGCAAGTAATCACATGACTAGTGATGAAATGAAGTTGCACAACCTAAACAAAGAAATACAAGGGTATGTCAAATTTGGAAATAAATATAGAGTCAGAATTGAAGGAAAGGGTTTGATAGTTTTTCAATGTAAAAATGGTGAATTGAGAAGATGTGAAGAGGTATACTACATACTTGATTTATGCAACAATATTATCAGCCTTGGTCAACTATTAGAAGGAGGAGATGAGATCCAGATAAAAGAGACATTCCTTTGGGTTCATGACCGCACAGGAAGATTGCTAATGAAGCTACAAAAATCTCCAAATCGTCTCTATAAAATTAAACTTGTGGAAGTCAATACAAGATGTCTAATTGCTGAAATTAAAGACCCAACATGGCTATGACACACTAGGTTGGGATATGTAAATTTTACCTCATTAAAACTAATGTCTGATAAAGGTTTGATCGAAGGAATTCCCAAGATGGAGATTCCACCTAAACCTTGTGAGGGATGTCTCATGGGAAAGTAAACCAGACATCCATTTCCATCATGTACAAGCTTCATGGCAAAGAGAAGATTGGAACTTGTACATGGTGATCTATGTGGTCCAGTCTTACCACCAACACCAGCTGGGAACATGTACTTCTTGCTTATGGTGGATGATTATAACAGAGTAATGTGGGTGTACCTACTAAGATCAAAAGATGAGGCTTTCAAGAATTTTAGAACAAAAGTTGAAATGGAGACTGGAGAAAAATTAAAGATGTTTAGAACAGATCGAGGGGGAGAGTTTTTCTCAAATCAATTCACCATGTATTGTAATGAAACTAGACTCAATCATCATTACACCTCACCCTACTACCCACAATAGAATGGGGTTGTAGAGAGGAGAAATCGAACAATTTTAGAGATGGTTAGAAGATGCTTAAAGACAATGAAAGTACCTGATGTATTGTGGGAAGAAGCGGTAAGCTATTCCGTTTACATCTTGAATCGATTGAGTTCTAAGGCCCTCAAGGAGATCACACCGTACGAGATGTGGACTGGAAGAAAGCCAAATGTTGGTCACTTAAGGGTTTTTAGGTGTATAGCACATACGAAGATAGCCAAGAATCACTAAAAGAAATTGGATGACAGAAGTAAGAAGGTAGTATATTTGGGAACAGAAAAGGGGTCGAAAGCTCACAGACTTTTGGATCATGATACGAGATCAATATATGTAAGTAGGGATGTGGTGTTTGAAGAAGATCAAACCTGGAATTAGGGGGAGACAACCAAGATCAAAGCAATTCCAGGTATGAGCTTCACTCTGGAAGGTTTTGATTTTAACGATTTGGGTGAAACTGAAGTTCATGAAGACAAAGTTCAAGAAGATGATAGCGATCCAGACCCATATACTCCTCAATATGGTGTCAGGTAAAGCGGGTCAACCAATAATGAAGATTGGATCGAAGATGAACAACCCATTAACTCACCACAAGTGAGCCCACTACCTGGCAGCTCACAAAGTGTGCCCACAAACCAGCCGGATTCGCCCAATTTGCCCATAACCCTAGTTTCTACGACTCAAATTCCGTCTCCAAACACCGCCTCAAGCTCCATAGGCGGTGGCGCTCCAAAACGGTATCCATTACTCACAAATCTATACGAGAACACAGAGGAAATACAATTACCCCCTGAAGAACTGTTGATGATCCGCAACGAGCAAGAAACGAATGGGTCAGTGCAATGAAGGAAGAACTGGCATCAATTGAAAAGAATAAGACCTGGACCCTGGTTGATCTTCCAAAAGGGCGAAAAGCAATTGGCTTAATATGGGTTTACAAGGTGAAGAGAGAACCAGATGGGAGAATTGCAAAGTACAAGGCGAGAATTTTAGCAAAGGGATACGTACAAAAACAGGGTATCGATTATGAAGAAGTGTTCGCTCCGGTGGCTAGAATTGAGACGGTGCGTATAATTTTGGTTCTTGCAGGATCAAGTGGATGGTGGGTGTATCACCTGGATGTAAAATCAGCTTTATTGAATGGAAGATTGAATGAAGAAGTGTATGTGATGCAACCTGAAGGTTTTGAGAGAAACGGAGAAGAAGTCAAAGTATACAAGCTCTCAAAAGCCCTGTATGGACTAAAACAAGCTCCTAGAGCTTGGAATGCATGCCTAGAAAAGTACTTAAAAAGCCTCAGGTTCACAAGGTTTTGTCAAGAGTACTCTGTGTATACAAGGAAGAAAGTGGGCAACATCTTGATAGTTGGAGTGTACATAGATGACTTGCTGGTCACTGGTAGCTGTTCCAAAGATGTGGAGGAATTCAAATTGGAAATGAAAGCCAAGTTTGAGATGAGTGACCTTGGGCTACTGAATTATTACTTAGGGATTGAAGTTAACCAAGATGAGGCTGGTATAACCTTAAAGCAAGAGGCATATGCAAAGAATATCTTGAACAAGACATACATGATGGAGTGCAATGCAACAAGAACTCCTATGGAACACAAACTAAAGATGTTTAAAGAAGAAGAAGGAGAATTAGTGGATCCTACAAAGTATAGAAACATAGTTGGTGCACTCAGGTACTTGACACATACACACCCTGATCTTTCTTTTGCAGTTGGAGTAGTTAGCTGGTTTATGGAGATACCACATGTAAAACATCTCCAAGCAGTGAAATCCATCCTTAGATACATTAAATGTACTCTTAACTATGGTTTGACATACACTAGAGGAGAGAAGAGAGTCACCCTCACTGGATACTCTGATAGTGACTTTGGAAAAGACTTGGAAGATGGGAAGAGTACAGGAGGGATAACTTTCTACATGAATGGGAACTTAGTGACATGGGCATCACAAAAGCAACGTAGTGTGGCCTTGTCATCATGTGAAGTAGAGTTTATGGCTGCAACCCAGGCAGCCTGCTAAGGCATATGGCTCCGCCGGCTTCTCACTAAAATCACTAGGCAAAAGGTACCTCCAATTGATCTGCTAGTTGATAATAGGTCGACACTAGACTTAATGAAAAATCTAGTTTTCCATGGGCGCAACGAGCACATCAATATAAGGTATCACTTTATTAGAGAATGTGTAGAATATGGGGAAATTGTGGTCAGTTATGTGTGTGGGACAAAGCAGAAAGCAGACATTCTTACAAAGTCAATGAAAAGAGTGAAATATGAAGAAATGAGAGACTTGATTGGGATGAAGCCAATCACAAGATTCTAAATTAAGGGGAGAATGTTACAAGTAATTCAAAAAATATTAATTAGTATGCACGTTTCTTTTTGTTAGGAAGAATAAATCAAAGGCATGTGGTATGCATTACCTGGTCTTCAGCTAGTATAAGTTAGTTCCTAGTTTTCAACATGTTTCCTCTTTAAATTGCAAGGCATAATGTACGTGTATTTATTAAGTCCTTTCTGAAATAAACACATAAGAAACATTTTACCTCAATATTCTGTTCTTCTATCTTATATACTATACATTGTTTCTTGTTGATTAGCTTGTAAAAAGCTGATTACATACTAACATTGTGGTATCAGTAAAAAACTAATTAAATACTAACAAAGATAATACCCGGAAAAGCTTGTGGCCTGGCACAAAGGCTCATATATCTCTTGTGAAAGAAACATTCTTATAGCAAGTGGATATACTCTTGCATAAACACGTAATAATCATGACTCTTGAAACCATAAAAATTGTTATCATAGATGATACACGGTTCCTTATGTTTAACGCACACTCGTCTAGAAACTTATGATTTTTTGAACATACAATGGCTTTTTTTGATGTTATCTTTTTTAAAGTGAAATTTCTGCGTTTGGAAATCATTCTTTTGTTTTCACATTTGGTTTAAAAAGGTTATACACAAATGAACTCAACAAGTTTCCTTGTGTTCATATTGTTATCTTTTTTCATAGTGTAATTAGTCAATATTTTTTTTGTTAATTATTGACAAATTACGCATGACTAGAAACCATCTTTTGTTTTTCAAGGTTTTGACGTTCGACGCCATCCATATTTTTTACAACTTAATTATACATGGAATACATTTATTTTGTCAACTTATATGTATTATAAACATACATATATGTGTGCATGCCATCATAACTATAATATTCAAAACATGATTATATCACAGTAAGTTTGTGTTTGTGCATACACTAATAAACATACAATACACATACTAATACTCACACACATAGACTCATATATACATACATATACACTTACATATAGATATACATACACACAACGACATACACATACATACACATTGACATACATATACATGAATTGAAATACATAAGGGGGGAAGTAGGAATATTTAGCAACAACGACTTCTTTTTTCCGATCAAATATAATAATATAGACCTGACAAATGGGTTCATGTTAGGTTGGGTTGAGACATGACAAACCCATGTAACCCATACATAAACATGGGTTTTTATGTTTAGCAAGTAGCAACAGCGACTTATTTTTATGTTTATGTATGTGTGTATAATAAAAAAAAAACTAAGGATGTTAAAATATGGGCATAAAATAAAATTTTGGACTACAACTCTACAAATACAACAAGTTATAAAACCCTTGGACTAAAGTTGCACATGCATGGAGCAATATTACACATGCGAAATTTCGTAATTAATCTGCTCTATATATATTTAGATTAAGTCATTATTCAGCAACTGATTATCTATATCTAAATCGTAAGTCAATGGCATCAAGTTGTGATCAGTTTGAAGCATGGAGAGACCTGAGAGGCAAAGTCGTGATGGTTACGGGTGCATCCTCCGGTCTTGGTCGGGATTTTTCAATTGATTTAGCAAAAGCCGGTTGCAAAATCATTGCTGCTGCACGTCGAACAGATCTCCTCAAGTCACTATGCGATGAAATTAACAACATGGAATTAAATTTAATCTCTGATGATCATATTGATGATGATGTTCATGAGGCAAACCAAGGTCAAATTGCAGTGGCGATTGAGCTTGATATCTGTGCTGATGGTCCTACCATTGAAGCCTCCGTGCAAAAGGCTTGGGAGACTTTTGGCCGGATCGATGTTCTGATCAACAACGCCGGTATTCGAGGTATATATATATCTTGGAATTATATATTTTTCATCTCCTTAATTGAGTTGGTTTTCTTTTTTATTTATTATTATTTATTTTATTTATGTGATACTTTCTGATATCTTTCGTGTAACTGAGAGAGAGAGAGTAGTTGGTAAGGTAAAAGTTAAAACCAAGCATGGAATTACGGATCCATTCTTTATCTGCAGGTAATCTGAGTTTGGTTTTGAGCAAGATGAATTTTACGATGTAAAGTCATCGATCGTTGAAGTTTAATTATGAGAATACAACGTACGTAACAAGCTCATTTTGCATGCATGTTTTATTCCAAGTCATTGAACCATTAAGTCATCAAATTGATGGTTTAATTCGTGTTTGTTAAAGCATGTCATTAATGAAAATAGAACAATATATATAAACCGATCGTTTACTTGTAAATTATATGAAGAAAGACATATTCGATAGCAATTTGAGGTTAAATGACATTAAACTTGCATAAAAATAGTATATATATTTTAATAAACAACAAAAACAAACTATTATGAATGTCCAAGTAATTAATTGATTAACTGTATATAAATTATAGTTAATTAAGAGTTTTAATTCAACGATAATATAAAAAATAAATTACGTTGATTAGATCTGATTTTGTCAACCGGTTTGAACTGATCATCCACCATCCACGTCATGCTCATTATTCACATTCATTTACAGTTAAATATTCCGTTGAGATATCTGATAGTGAACGAACATAATTATATGAATGAGACCTCAATATATATTAATCTGATGTTAATACTTCATGAATAACAGTTAATTTGTCATTGATTTTCCATTGATCAATTTCTGTGAGTGTAAACCTACTTGGGTGTGAACCTGCTATGAGTAGCTGCACCATCCTCTTTAGTTGACAAATGAATGCCTCCTTTGTTGACAATAACAACTAGAAATGGCAGCCTCTTTATTTCACACGATGAACACGATAAATTGCCACAGTACTTATAGTGGCTAGTTTTAGTATAAATAGAAGTTGTAATCTGAGTTGTAAGGCACCACAAAAACAGAGAGTGTACTGAGTAATACTTAGAGTGAGTATTAGAGGGTTGTTTTTTTTTCTTGTAATATTGAGCGTGTAAGCTCTTCTCTTTTGTTCTAGTTCTGAATAAAAGTGTGTTTCAACCCCAACAAGTGGTATCAGAGCTTGATTAAGCTCCGGGGGAGCATTCTTTGTTTTTTGGTCGAAATTTTTTTGTCTCAAAAACAATTTCGGAGTACACCATTGGAAAGGTCTCGTTCCGAGGATTCCGAAAATATATTTTTTTGAATTTTTTGACCACCGGGAAGGCTTCCAAATCGCTGTTCAAAGTTGGTCAAAAGTCGCCGGAAAGTTGGCCGGAAAAACCAGGGTTCGGCGGAGAAGACGACACTGTAGCGAGTACTGTAGCAATGACGTCATCAGTGATGTCAGCAGCTGACCAAAGTTCAGAAAATTGCAGTTTATCCCCTGTTCTTCCGAAAAGTGCAATTTAGCCCCTGTTTTTCAAAAAAGTTTTATTTTTTGTCCTGTTTTTCAGAAAATTTTCAGTTTAGCCCTTGTTTTACGTCCATAAACGTTCCATTTGCCCCCTGAACTTCTGAAAAGTTCATACTGGTCCCTATACTTCAAAAAAAAAAAATCATTGTCGTGTATGCCCAAGTATATGCTAAAAATGACTACACCAACTTCGTCATCTTCTCAAGCCGAAGTTGAAAGTTTTCAAAGGATCGGGAAAGACGGTAGTGTTACGTTACACTATCCAATGCTCACGAAGATGAACTACGTGGTGTGGGCCATAAAAATGCGAGTGAATTTACAAGCACAAGGAGTATGGGATGTAATTAAAAATGTAGAAACGGACGAATGTAAAGATCGGATGGCTCTTGCGGCTATTTATCAAGCAATTCCAGAGGACGTACTTCTGATGTTAGCTGAGAAGGACACAACTAAAGAAGCATGGGAAACGCTTAAGATGATGCACATGGGAGCTGATCGGGTCCAGGAGGCTAAAGCTCAAACCTTGAGAAATGACTTCGAGGTGATCCGGATGAAAGACAGTGAATCGGTAGATGATTTTTCCATGAGATTGAATATTATCGTAACCGGTATTCGATCTTTAGGTGAAAAGATTGAAGAAATAACGGTTGTGAAGAAGTTTCTACGAGTCGTACTGATACGATTTATACAAATCGTAACATCTATCGAGCAATTCGGAGATTTGAAGAATATGACGGTGGAAGAAGTTGTGGGTCGTCTTAAGACCCATGAAGAGAGACTTCGAAGCTATGGAGAAAAAAAAGGAGGACCTTCTCTATTGCTTACACATGCCGAGTGGGCATCTCGTTCAAAGCAAACTGGAGAGAGAAACTCGTCAAACACTTCAAGAGGACGAGGAGGACATGGTAACCGAGGCCGGGGACGAGGCCGATGTCGTGGACGTGGCCAAGGAGGTGGTCGCGAGTACAATACAAATCGGAATGACCATAATCCTTCTCGAAAGGATAAAAGTAAAATCAAATGTTTTACTTGTGAACAATTTGGTCATTATGCATCGGAGTGTCCAAACAAGAATCGAGGTGAGGAGGCCAACCTCGCTCAAGCCAACGAAGAAGAGCCTATTTTGATGATGGCAGCCGCACAAGAATATGCACACAAAAAGGTGTCTCTAAGAGAGAAGATTTGTGTTAATCTTCTTACATCTGGAGAAAGTCGAGTCGAGTCCGAGGTATGGTATCTCGACAACGGTGCTAGCAATCACATGACTGGAGACCGCTCAAAGTTTCGCGAACTAGATGAGCACGTTACGGGTCATGTGAAATTTGGGGATGGTTTGTCCGTCGCTATTTTAGGAAAAGGGTCGATTTTATTCGATAGCAAAAATGGTGACCAAAGAATCCTTAATGAGGTATATTTCATTCCAAGTCTAAAAAACAATATTATTAGTCTTGGACAAATGACGGAGGAAGGGAGTCGGGTCATAATGGATGGGTCGGATCTGACATTGTTTGACAGAAACAAAACTCTACTTTTGAGAGTTAAATGATCCCCAAACCGGTTATATAAAACTCCTTTAAGGACCGGTAGACCGACTTGTCTTTTAGCAACAAAAGACGAACCAGCTTGGATATGGCATTCTAGACTCGGTCATGTTAACTTTCTCGCCTTAAAGAAGTTGTCCGAAAAGAATATGGCAATCGGAGTCCCAAAGATTGAGCACCCAAACCAAGTATGTGAAGGGTGCGTTCTTTCCAAACAAACCCGAATTCCTTTCCCGGATCATGCAGTTTTTCGGGCTAAAAAACCTCTACAACTTGTTCATGCGGACTTATGTGGTCCGATCACACCTACATCTGTTGGAGGGAGTAAATATTTTCTCCTTTTAGTAGACGATTTTAGCCGGTGGATGTGGGTTTACATGCTATCGGAGAAGTCTCAAGCCTTGAGCGCTTTCAAACGGTTCAAGTTGATGGTTGAAAAGAATCCGGGTTATCAAATAAAGATACTTCGAACGGACCGAGGGGGAGAATTCACTTCAAAAGAATTCTCATTATTTTGTGAAGAAAATGGTATTCAAAGGCATCTTACAACACCATATTCGCCTCAACCAGAACGGAGTTGTAGAAAGGCGAAATCGGACCGTTATGGACATGGCAAGAAGTCTGCTCAAAGGTAGAAATGTCCCGGGATAGTTTTGGGGAGAAGCGGTTAGACATGAAATTTATCTTCTCAACCGCCTGCCAACAAAAGCACTTCCCGACAAGACACCTTATGAAACATGGTTTGGCAAAAAGCCTAACCTTGAACATCTAAAAGTTTTTGGTTGTGTTGCTTTTGCTAAACTTGTAGGTGGTCACTTGAAGAAACTTGATGATCGAAGTAAAAAGATGGTGTATTTAGGTGTGGAAGATGGAACTAAAGGCAACCGTTTGCTTGATCCGCAAGACCGAAAGTTGCGAGTTAGTCGCGATATTGTTTTTGACGAAAAAGAAGAATGGAATTGGTACAAAAACAAAGAAGAAGAGATGGAGACTCCTAAGACCTTTACCATAATTGAACCATAACCCCAAATACACCTCGAAACACCTCAAAATGACCCCGAAATCAACCCGGAACAACCAAACAGTCCAGGAATCGATGCTATCCAAGCTGGAACACCATATGTTGAATTTGACGAGCCTGAACCGGCCCCACAAACTCCTATCTCAGCCCCGTTTTCTTCAACCTCGCCCCATATGGAAAGCCCTTCTAATGAAATTGGGCCAAGGGGATTACGTCCATTAACCGATATCTATTTTGAAGGCGAAAATGTGTTCCTTGAACCCGGAGAATTGTTGATGATTGCAGCAGATCAACCCTTGAATTTTAAAGAGGCAATAACCTCTAAAGCATGGCAGGAGGCTATGCAAGCAGAGTTAGATGCAATCGAGAAGAACAAGACATGGCAACTTACCAATTTGCTACCCGGAAACAAAGCAATCGGTTTGAAATGGGTGTTTAAAGTGAAGAAAGATAACTTGGGAAAAGTGGTGAAGCATAAAGCTCGACTTGTAGCAAAAGGATTTGTACAAAAGGAAGGAGTCGACTTTGATGAAGTTTTTGCACCCGTAGCACGACTTGACACCGTAAGACTCATTCTTGCCTTAGCAGCTCAACATGGGTGGGTTGTCCACCATCTCGATGTCAAGTCAGCTTTTCTTAATGGAGATCTCAAAGAGGAGGTTTATGTCACCCAACCAGAAGGTTTTATGTCACCCAACCAGAAGGTTATGTTGATAGTGCAAACAGTCATAAAGTGTTCAAGCTTCATAAAGCTCTTTATGGTCTACGACAAGCTCCTCGAGCTTGGAACATTCGTTTGGATAAAAGCTTAAAAAGGCTTGGTTTTACAAAAAGTTCACAAGACCCAGCTGTTTACAAAAGGAACTCAAAAGACAAAATTCTTATTGTTGGTGTCTATGTTGATGACCTGATCATTACCGGATCGAGCACTAACGACGTTGTCGAATTCAAAGAGCAAATGAAGAAAGAATACGAAATGAGTGACTTGGGATTACTTTCTTACTACCTTGGAATCGAAGTTTCGCAAAAGAAGTGGGGAATATCTTTGCGACAAATAGCTTATGCAAAGAAGATTTTAGAGCAATTTGGGTTGCTGGATTGCAATCCGACAACGTCACCAATGGAACCTAAGTTGAAGGTTAAAAAGGATGAAGATG